TTGAAGGAAGTTGTGGTTACTTGAACGTTGAAGTCATTAGCACGAAAAAAAGAACGTGTTAATTTGTCACTGAATAAACTTTCAAGGAACATTCAGCGTTTTTCAGAGAGAACATGATTTAAATTTTCCTAATCTTACTTCGTCGCACAAACTCCAACTTGAAGGGAGTTATGACAATCGAGAAAATCAGGTGTAAATTCCACTGAAATTTTATTTGATGAGCTCGGGAACAACGGGGAAAACGGGAAGGGGTGCGGGACTTTTGGTGCGTCCGGGGTTGCACGCGGCGATCCGGACGAGGCAAGTCTTCGCGGGTTTCTGCGGTGGAATCCAACACGTCAGAACGTGTGCAGATCGCGCTGCATTTCACCGATCTCCGCGAGTGGGAAGTTTCTTTCAAAGCAGAACCTTGTGGATTCTATCCGCGATCTGCACACGTTCTGACGTGTTGAATTCCACTGCAGGAGCCCGCGAAGACTTGCCTCGTCCGGATCGCCGCGCAGCCCGCCGCGCGATTCGCCGCGTGCAACCCCGGACGCACCAAAAGTCCGTCGCCCAACGGCGGGAAGCACTCCCGCGCCCTGGAAATTATCTCCTATCCATATGTAACGTTTATGCTTCTATACGCACTTCATGGAGGAGGTGACTTCGCGCAGTCTATCAAGGCCCCGAAAGGGAGGGCTTTGTAAAAATCTCCAAAATGTACCCGGATAGGACCGACGCTGGTCAGGGATTTGGACCCCAGGCCACACGTTTGGTGGACAAACTCACTTGTGACTACACCACATCCACCTCTTGAGTCAGCAATAGGAACCAACAAGAACGACACACACGCGCAGTACGGGTTACTTTCGTGCAGCGTGCTATCAAACGACACTGTCGTTACCACACAGGATTGTGGAAAGGAGTGGCCATAACTGTCGACTAATGCTTTAGGCAATTGGAAGACCTGTGCTGGCACAATCACCCTGGGAATTTCTGGGTTTCTTGTGTGCTCATTCCACCCGAATACCTACCCCACACCCTGCTCTCTGCGGCAATCTCCCAACAGCCTAAGTAAGAAAAAAACATCTAAGCCTTTGGGGTACAATACGTCCAGGCTTGTACGACCTGAAGCCCCCATAAAGCATGTTCGAATCTAGGCAACATAACAGCACTCAGCAGTGATCCCGGTCTCAAGAAATCCCGCGAAACGTGCTACAAGCAGGAATGCGCACTGCTCAGTGGATGTATCATAATGCTGACTCCACTCCATGACTACGAATTTGGAATCTCACTACCTCTAAAACAAGAAAGCTTATGAAAATGTACTGGTACACAACAACACTGCTCATTTCCGGTATCACGCCTGCTCTACTGTACATGTCCCACATCGAATAAGAATGGTGATTGCCTCTGTATGAACCCCAACGCCTGACTTTAAGAAACGTATTACGTCTCCTGAAACAGGAACAAGTTTCATTTTTTAAAACTCTAAAATATACTCCTTGCTGTGGACCAATGTTGGCCTCACTGATATAGCACAACTGTTGGATAAACAATGACACCAGTCAAAAGCAACACCCTGACAATAGCTCTCAATGAAAAAACTAATGAGTACAAGCTCAAGTGCTGCAGTTTAACTTGAAACACCAACAATAAACGCCTAGCCACATGGCAAGTGATGGCGATAATCATTCATAAACATTCTAGCACTGTACTCTCAACAAAACACAACAAATAGATACTTTAACTTTCTTCACAGCTGCACATGAGAGAGTGCACACACATACAACGAACTAATAGAACAGGTATGGCTTAGAAGGCGCCATCGATATCATCACCCGCGCGGCGCGCAACTGCCCATTTCGCGCTCCCACTGCTCCCTGCACGCTTCAACGCGGAACGAGCTATGGCACGCCGGCGTGGTGAAAGGACTTAGAACAATGAAGGAAAACAAGCTCCAAGCAACAAGGAACTAGACCGGTTTCAGAAACGATAAATACTAGACACAGGACAACAACAAATATTTACCAAACAAAATATTTTTCACAGGAAGTGGAAAACACAAAAGTAAAACCAACTCAAGTGAGAATACGAGCGGCTTCTTTTTTCGCAATCAGAACTTCACGAAGACGAAAGACAGCCAGAATGATCGGAAAGTCGATATTATCATCAAAAGTTGACATAGCCACAGCTATGTGCCTATCGATTCTATCGTATTCGTCCCTGTAAATAAATAAAATGATCAACACTCCCCATATGTGTCGCACTTTCCGGCTTCAATGTTCAGTTAAACGACCAAGGACAAAAAATAAGTGAATCTGCTAATACTGATGACTTGTAATTATATGTTGATGGATTATATAATGCTAATTAAGCTCCTGCTTAACAGCTAAATACATAATATTGAAAATATTAGCTAACAGATATGAACTTACGGCGTGACCGCTCTTGATCCAATCTCATTCATCATCAAGCTAGCAAACATGAGATTAGCTTCAGGATGAGAGGGCTCAAGTTCCATGCACTTCTCGAGGTATTCCATGGCATCTTTTCCAGACGCAGACATACAGCTAGAGTAAGGTTTGCGTAAAATGCAACAGTGCACAGAAAACGGAACATCTCGTATCAATAGCCACCTTCGATCAAAGTAATGGATGGACTCGTTTGGTTCCATTTTAAGAATCTCGTCAGAGATGTTACGAGCAGTCGCATCGCTGCTGAATGTAGCAGTTATCTGAAAGCTAAAGTTGTATGCCAAAAATGGTTTCATGCGAGCACTCATACATGAAAGAGTAGAAGAAAATGAAAATAGAGGCAACCTTTGCAAGGATTGACAACGCGTAACCCGACTTGGGCTCAAGGCTTCCAACGAAATTCTCCAATTGCAGAATATTGCTGTGCAACAGAGCCATGTCAGGACTATTGTCCTCACGATTGGCATTTCTCAAGATTTGTAAAGTGAGGAGCAGCAGCCTAAAAAATTGTGTACCTATATACAGCGAAAAAAATACAAATGCAATGCTTTGCAGGAACTATACATACTTACTTCATATTTGTTTTCGACATTCCTTCAGCAGACAGCAAGTCCATCGCTCGGACTATTTCATTGCAAAGGACGTAGCGGAAGGCAGCCATGACGTAGAAGTCCGGAAGTGGTTTTTTCAACGTGTTCACGGCATTTGTTAAGGCTCTGAAGTGAATTTGGTGCATTGCCAACTTCAACACGTCATGAGAATTTCAACTCTACATATAATAACGGAGACGCATCACAGTCTTCATAGATGCGGGAGACCGCGTATAGCGCTTTCCTCTTGATTTTCTTAACCATTACAGAATAGAAGTTTTCGTCCCTCTTCTGAGCAGTGGCGTTCGTTTACTTACGCTTCATGCATTTCTTTTTTGAACACCCTTCTACCAAACATCCATACTGTCACCTCCCTGTCCGTTCTAAGCCCTGCTACAAAAATATTAAGAGAAAAATATTGCCTGTTCGCGTCAAACGTCCTTGGAAACGATCGGTGCAGATTCGAATTACCCGCCTCTTCTTACTTTCCCCTGTGTGTACTCCCTCTCGTTTTTGAGTTCTTCCTTTCTTCTGTACAGAAAAATATAGAAGTTATCCCAGTCCACAGGTGCGCATGATTTAATGAAGCCATGATGAACGACATTTCAAATAATGGCGAAGAAGGAGTGAAGACGAGGATTTCACCTACTTTTCAATTTCCTCTGCTGTACGACCCGATTCGATGAGCAAGATGTGCTTTGCGACAATGAGTTCCTCTTTCTCTTTTTTCTTCTCCTCAGACAGCGCCTCGAAGAGAGCATCAAACTTATTCACACAAGTTTTACACTAGAACAGAAACTTCGTTATCCTTCAGAAATTATCAATTTAACGAAGTATCAGAGCAATCTATCTGCTACCTCTTAGATTTAATATAACATCACACCCTATACATTAATATCGGGATTCTACTCATGTAAAGACGGCTATAAATAATGGTTCCGAAAAAACTTACTGAATCCAATTGATTGCGATAAAAATAGAAGCGAGCTGCAAGAATCTGAGCCTCCATCTCATATGATCCGCTTTCTTTCACAGCAACATCTGCGACGTTGTCATAGTCTTTGTTGCGGATCATTTGGATAGCTTTCACGTAAGGTCTGAAACTTCACATATTGAGCTTGTGGGTTTTCTTTCACATTCACCTTGTTTGGGTCACGTCAAGCGACGCTTTCTTTGTACGAAAAACAGCAGTGTTCATAAGATGAATTGATATATAGCACATACTAAATATAGTTGATAAGAAAAGACGCAACACTCACGAATCGCCAGAAATTTGCAAGGTGAGGACGTCACGACGAATACAGTCGGACATCACGGTTTTATGTAGCCAACTGTAGACCTTGAATAAGAGCCACATTCAGGAATCATCTAGCTGATTCGAAAAAGCCGAGAAAAAAATTCGAATGAGAAACCACCGACCTTCTCATGACGCACATGTTTGACCGTTCCATGATTAGAAGGATTATCAAGCCACTCTTGATGCGCTTTCTTTTCCAGCTCTTCCAATAGAACTGGCAAAAGTTGACTTGACTGAGTATCGAGTGCAGGGTCAAGTTGAGTAGCACAAAAAAGGCCTACAAGCAATTGCTATTTGAAATTAAAAAAAAAACTGGAAATAACAGTATGTAGCAAGAAACATTCACGCACTTATAAGGGAATTCATGTGTTCATTTTTCATCTGAAAAAGACGTGCCCTTCTGAAGTAAGCTTTAGCGTAACGAGGGTTGCAACTCAGGGCCTGTTCACAATCGCTTAGCATATCATCAACATTATAACCGCCGTGGTGCTGTAACAAAATTTATCGAAAGTACACGATGAGTGATAAATCTATGCAGAAATATAAAATCCTTAGGTTGTGTTTACCAATATAAGGAACGATTACCTCCTTTGCGGCAGCCCTATTCTGGTAGCACATTGCTTTGAGAAGATCACAGTTATCAGAACCGCTAGTAGCAATGGCTTTCGAGAAAATCTAAACAAAACATTATTCTGCCGAAGAAAGCGAAGAAGGAATAAATTTAAGTAGCTTGTCTACTGAAAGATTAAATTGCATGTATAGTGATGGATCGTTGCCATTAGAAGGTAACGGGCTTCTAAGGCTGGTGTCAGAGTCGCGATCCGTCGCAGGTTTCGCTGATTTTCGCGATTTGCGCGATTCACGCGACGGGTCACGGAAATCACAAGTGCCCGATCAATACTGCAAGGTGTTCTCCAATCCGCCACTTCTGCTTGATAGTGATGGCTGAATGACGACTGCTCATGATTCCACTTGTTTCATATTCAGTGTTTCAAATGTTCAAATGGGCAATTTTTGCGATCCGTCGCAGGTTTCGCGCAAATCGCGAAAATCAGCGAAACCTGCGACGGATCGCGGACTCTGACACTCACAAATTTAATCCCACTGGTAACTAAGCGCATCCAAAACAGTGGTTGATGCGTAGTTGGAAAAACATGCACTAACTGATTTACAGCATTCTACCCTATCATGAGATCTAATCGAAAGCGTGTTTGAGTACACAAAAACAGTCCAAAAGTAATTAGTCTTGCGCAAAGGGTATGAGGACCATTAAAGAAATGGTTTGAAAAAACTAAAACATAGAAAACAAGCTTCGAAACTCAACTCACACGAATAGAATCTGCATATTTCTTGGCAGCGAACAGTTTGTTACCCAAATCCTTCAAGTCCTTCACAGATAAGCTCTTCTTCTTCTAGATAAAAATCGTATTACGATCTACTGCTATAGCGAGAAAACTACATATTCGACGAAATACAAATTTCTGGCATACTTTTTCACGGTGGAAGAGACAGAGTGCCACATACATGTGACGCAACGTGTCACGACACATTTTTTCAGTTATGGCTGCAGAAAACAACACATTCAGTGGGCTATTTCCAAAAAATAGGTAACAACTTCTATTCAAATAGCTATGATTGCGATTCTTCCCTGCTTTTCAAAGGATGAACTGTATTTTCGAAGAGGTGAAAATTCGACCATGCGTCTTGTAAACGTCACCAAACAACTCAGACGTAGAACGAAGAACGCTAACACGAAATTTCTTTCAAAAATGTCGAGACAAAAGTTAACAAGCAAAACCTTCTATTTTTAACTATGCGCTCATAGCAACTTCAGAATCCTCCTTTTTGGGATAACCTCATTTCAGAGAATTTCGGCAATTTCAATAATTGTCACACGACCATACAGGTAACTGCCAATGTAAAAAGCCACTGCTAACGAGAAACAGGTTTCTTGACGTTGCAAAAAGAAACACTTTCAAGGTTCCAGTGCTGCAACCGCCACTATTTAATGTTGTTTCACAGGAAAAATAATTAAACAGACCGTATTTAAAAGAACAACTCATTGCAACGGTGATTCACCAACAACATAACACATATACCAAGGAAAGTATTACAATTAGATCGTATCAGAAGTAATTGCATCACAGGAACAATTTCAGTTCAAATCAACAAATTATGCATAGAAGGTATGCCTTGAAATTTTAATGTTTTTTAAGATCCAGCCAAACCAGAAGTTGTATGCAACTACTCAAACTGGCACACGCCCACATGTAGCGCCTTGTAAGCCAATGAACGAAATTTTATAAATCAGACTTTTGTGTTCCCATAACGAACGCGTCAACAAAGAAAAGTGGGTAAGAATGAATCAAGACGAAAGATACATATCTGATCTTCACACAAATGAAATAAAAAAGGATCTCACCGAGCTATTCCTGCGCCACAGCAAATAGTACAAACCGGCCGCAGAAACTCCCACAACGGCTGCGACCGCAACATATCTGTATAGGTGCTGGTGGCCCGGCATACCCTGGAAATTTAAATGAATGTAAAAAAAAACTCCTTGAATGCAAAATAAAGGAGTAGTCATTTAGAGGATGAGATGGAGACACTGCAGCACCCAATAAAAGACCACGTCGCTTAGCACTTCAAGACACTGAATCTATTGAACATTCGTAGCGGAAGAAAACCATAAGATATAGCATTCGATAAGAATGCTTGCAAGCCTTCCTACCATGCAAATAGAACCTGAATTCTATCACAAACTTCCGTGTGCTTCTCATACATGAAAATAAATACAAATTAATTTGGAAAATGAAAGGGAAAGAAACCCAAACAGAAATGCGACTTGCTATAAAGGCTAGGGCTAGGCTACAACAGAATTCTACCCAGCAGCACTGAAATAGTAAATGGCAACGTTTTGGGAGAGGTGTTGTGCGATTACACAGTAAGATTACCCTTTATGTTTACAGACGAATAGTCGCGCGTAGAAAAATAAGGGCAATGGAAGCATTACCGTTGCGCTTTATGCGACAGAAATTGATTTTATTCAGAGTGTTATTGACCAACAGGCCTGTGAATAAAACTGGGGTCGCAAGATATGGGGACATTGTTATGGCAACGCATTCAAAACCATCTCACATCTCCATCTCCTTTCTGTTGAAAACGGGACTAATTGTAAGCAGGGACAGCATTCAGCTTCCCATGGAACTTTGAATTGAGACCCAGATATATCGATAGAGCTTCAAACGCTGATTACAAATATGGAAACTAAAACTGCAAAATGAACCTGCCAAGGAAGTTGTGAGCAGTCAAAGTTGGCTGGAAGTAAAGCATTACATATGAACCGTGCTAGCCTCCGGGCTTTCAGAGTCGCCGCGGAGTAGTGGTAGTGCCCTCGCTCTCCACCCGGGAGGTCATAAGTTCTTCCTCCTTGTAGTGCAGACTTTGAGAGCACTGTCCACTACTCCATGGCGACTTTGAAAGCCCGGAGGCTAGTGTAATGCTTCCTTCCAGCCAACTTTGACTGCTCACAACTTCCTTGGCAGGTTCATTTTGCAGTTTTAGTTTCCATATTTGTAATCAGCGTTTGAAGCTCTATCGATATATCTGGGTCTCAATCTCAAAGTTCCATGGGAAGTTGAATGCCTTCCCTGGTAAGTCTTAAGTGGAAATGGACAGAAGCTAGGGTGCGTGAGCAGTTTTATCTCCGCGAAGCTTCTGCACCTCCCAGGCTTAGTCATAGAGGATGCCTGTACCTTACGGTGGCGCTCAAATCTATTGTATACCTACAACACCAACAGATCACACCACTAACATGTTTGGCTAAGAATGAAGTCGATAGCAAAGCATTTGACAAAATTTTTCTCAAAAGCATCAGAAAAAAATCAAGCGAAGGCGGAGAGGAGAGAAGATCAGGTACCCCGAAGCTTTTCACAAATTGGTAGGAGTAAAATAGAATATGAATGAATAGTAAAATTTGTCGGTTTGTAACTGTGCCCATTGCCTTATTGTTAGCCACAAATGAGGCATTGGCTCCATCAGCGGGGACTGATCCCACACTTCAACATCTGAATAAATACTATTTGTGAAAGAAACAACACAACTTCCACGTCAGAAACTCCAAGAGAACGAAATCCCTAAAATGTCACCGTACGATAAAGGGCGCTTAAAGATCAAACAAAGAAAACACAAGAGCCAAGTGACATTCAAACTATCCCAAAACAGACAAGATGTAACTGCACATTCGTTATGACACCTGAACAAACAGCCGACAAAATAATTGCAGTTCACAAAGGATAAAGCGAAACATTCTGCCCAAGCCTGAAGTATGAAAAGTTTGACTACTGAGCTGGATCATGATCGATACTTACATATTCCACACCCGAACTGCAAGGAAACCGCAAAGAGTGAGGCTAGTGTCAGAGTCTGCGACCCGTCGCAGGTTTTCGCAAAACCTGCAAAATTGCGAAGTGCCCCATTTGAACATTTGAAACACTTGATATGAAACAAGTGGAATCATGAGCAGTCGCCATTCAGCCATCACTACCAAATAAGGCTGCTTTCATAGTCTGCGGTCCGTGCCGTCCGCGCCGTCCGCGCCGCCCGCGCGGACGGCTCGGACAGGGTGAAAAACGTCAACACGCGCTCCGGCGCACAATGCGCACTTGGCGCGCAGTCGGCGCCTCCCTCGATCGATAATGCTAATTTCGAAACATTTTTTCTGTATTTTGACGTTTTGTGTGCCGTTTTGCTTTTTCTTGCGGTTGTTTAGCCCAAAACTTTTCTTTTTTGTATGGATTACTGCTTTTGCTTACTAATGAACCCACTTGGTGCTTATTGCCACTTTCAAACACAGTGTATGAACCTAACCATTCTAGGACAGTTGAAAAGCAATGATTCACACGAAAAAGAAAATATGGTTCTCGCCAAAAAAAAACACAAGCAAAAGCCAGTCGACGCCTTCCAGTTTATAAATGCGATTTCATCACATTCTATTTGTTTTGGGCTAAGTAACCGCAAGAAAAAGCAAAACGGCGCACAAAACGTCAAAATACAGAAAAAATGTTCGAAATTAGCATTATCGATCGAGGGAGGCGCCGACTGCGCGCCAAGTACGCATTGTGCGCCAGAGCGCGTGTTGACGTTTTTCACCCTGTCCGAGCCGTCCGCGCGGACGGCGCGGACGGCACGGACCGCAGACTATGAAAGCAGCCTAAAAGTGGCAGCAGGATTGGAGAACACCTTGCAGTATTGATCGGGCACTTGTGATTTCCGTGACCCGTCGCGTGAATCGCGCAAATCGCGAAAATCAGCGAAACCTGCGACGGATCGCGGACTCTGACGCCAGCCTGACCGTATCCTTTGAGAGTGACGCCTGGTCCGCACGAACGTATAGGTTTTCATAGGCGTTGCAAGAAAAACGCGCGTACTTGGGGCTGGAACATCGCTATGCGGATAGCCTAGCATGAGAGGATGATCGAGTGTGGTTCAACAGGGTACGTATCCTATCTCCCTCCTAGACAAGGATAATAAAAAATCCCTTCAAATTGTCGTTGTTTTCTCCACAAAATCGCCCTGAGAGGCTGCATATTGTATCGTTTATATGTGTGTAAAAGCAAGTAAGTGCGGAAAGTAAAGTAAGGAGTGTAGTAGTTGAAAACAAATAAATTTACGGACTCTTTCGTCCCCTAGCCTGAGGAAAGGATAGGATACGACCACAGGACAGAAAGCGATTTTTTTCGTGTTTCGCAACGCAAATATTTTTTTCGCGAAGGAACCGCAGGTCCACTCACATCAGCGGTGGACCTGAGTTCCCACAACGAGAAATATTCGCGCTGCGAAACGCGAAAAAGTCGCTTTGTGACCTAGCAAACCACACCCAAGATGAACTTAAAACGAATTAACCTAAATGTACAATGAAAATTGCGTACCCAGCCCAACCCCTGGTTATACAGCTTACCAGGAAAGGTCATTAGGCCCGGCCAAATGAAATGAGGTGCACATTTCTGTACGCAGCATGAGACGCTGAACTCAAATCTGCTTTCATTATCTGCTGAACTCTTCTCTGAAAGGAGTTACGGAGGGTTTTTGTTGCCGCCCTTGATTTTCAGTGTTTTGCCTGCAATCACATGTTAGCCGCATTATAAAAGTATCGAAAGGAGAACCGAGGCACTGTTGAGCTTCGGTAGCGCAGTTGGTAGCGGTCTTGCTTCTCAAGTAGGGGTCGGGGTTCGGTTCCTTACGGGGTTTGGTGTTTTGCTTTTTTTCCAACATGGCTGAAAAGCCTTTTTGAATCCGTTATTTTATCAACGGTCGCCCGACGCTACATCTACGAAGAGTTTGCAAGCAGACCCTCTTAAATTTAAGCACTACTTGTCTGTGAGTGCCCATGGTGCCCGTAGTGCAGGTGCTATGCTTTTCCGTGGCAAGTAGGTACGATATTCGTATTCAGGGGATCAAACTACCCCTGCGAGTTTTTCGCCAAATCTGAGGTCATGAACTAATTGAGAAAAAGCGGAGCAGTGATGGGATTACCACTCCTCAAACTCCACTTTTTTGGGTTGACCAATCATGGACGACGGGGGGGGGGGGGAAAGGGGAGAGAAGGTGTTGTATTTGGAAGTTTTATTTTGAATTATCTGTCGACAGGGCTCACCGCCCCGGAATGGGGCGGAGTCACGAGATTTCCTCTCGTGACGAAACCCGGATGAGGCCATCCAGGTTTTCGGCGTTCCTGGAGCGGTTGGGAGCGACTAGAGCTGCCCAAATCATTATGTAAGAAATGCGTTTCATCGGCTACAATCAAATGAGTGGTTAGTGGTTCCTATTGTTATCACTTGTGATAGTATTGTCTTGTTTCAGAGCTAGACTCTATTCTAGCTTTATAGAGTTTTGATGGCAGAACCATGTTAGGTTTTTGTTTTAATCGAATTTGTGATCTAAAAGCCAAGTTCACGGCTATTTCATCACAGCTCACAATTTAACTTCTCCAGTTACTATCAGTGATGGGATAAACCTCTTCTGTCGACAATTGTACGTGCTCCATGATCCTGTTATTGGCTATACCTCTATTAGAAGTATCAAATATCCTGTTTCTGCAATAAATGGGATACTGACGCTTTTCACCGAAGAAACAAGGGCGGGTTTTCGTAACGTATGGCCTTGTCGCGCCAGATCCTGGCTAACATCGACTGTATCTCATGTCCTCAAACACATAACCATAACAGTACCGTGTTATCCCGGAACCCCCGTCGGCTGTTTAACCCATGCATTCGAGTACTCTTCTCTAGGATTAAGGAAGACGTGTTTCTCCATCTGTAAAGAGGACCCCTACAAAGGGCGGATTTCGCAATACTTGGTTTCATTCCTTAGTGAACAACGTTTTGAAAAGCAAGAGATTGGTCACCTTGTTGACAAGGCTTATGAAAATGGATTCTCGAGTTATGCTAATTCATTGAGTTAGTTATGCGACCGCGGCTTTACGCCTTCCCCTTTCAGGAGGCTTCACATTATTTCTGATTTACGAAGGACGACCTGGTACTCTGGTCTCGACCATAGAAAGTCTGGAGGGTTCTCGACACCCAGTGA